TGCCATGTTTTGGCAGTACCAGACTTCAAACATGGCAGTATTTTCTAAACTTGGCAGTAATTACTCCTATTTTGGGAATAAAAAACATGGCAGTCCTATTTTGGAATTTTCAAACTGTTTTAGTCCTATTTCGGGAACTTTCCCTATTTTGAATCGCAGACTAGAGTATATAAAAACATTGATTAAAAAATGAGTTAACCTGGAGTCATGAACAATGAAAGAATATTTTATTTTGTCATGAATGTAGTACGGAGTATATACTTTATCTGTCCTTGCCATTTTTTATTGAATACTGAGTCCGGCCCAGGTTTTAGGGTTCAGGATAGGTTCCCGGTACCCAGTCCGTCCGGGTCCTGATTCCGGACTCCGGAATTGGGACCAGGTTCCAAGTGCAATCGAAAAAAGAAAAATATGGAGTTCGTAGTAATAATTTTTTCGGACCGGAACCAGTGGATTCGGGCCCCAAATCAGTGAACTGGAATTGGTACCCAAAATGATCGGATAGAGCCAATTTTAGCCTGAAATTGGAAAAAACAGATCTGATCCGAATCTAAATAGTACCGGACTCACTTCTAGACCGAGCTGGAGCCTGGACTGAGTCCCGTACCTACTCCCGTGTATAGGTTCCCATATCAAAAGTACATGATATTTTGGGACACGTAAGTACGTAACTAAACAAATTAGTTTGAGCAAAAAGCATAGGAAATATAGTCCAAAAAATTGAACAATTAAAGTAGTTGAGTGGATGGATATGATTTGGTGGACTAATTTATGAATAATAATGTGATGATGAGTACTCATTTATTTTTAAAAACAAGCATAAAGTTACTCTATAATTTAATACTTCGTATATGTAATTTTTTCTTGAACGGCAAGACAATCTTCATATACAACATCCAAAAAGTAATTGTGAAACCTTAAATTTATACAGCCAGAATGGCTCTTTGGCTTTTCATACTTATTACCATTCCAATAATATATGGTATTTATTGGGGATTTAATTTAAACAGTGGCATTACAATTTTAGCTTACCTCGATATTGGTTGTGGGCAAGCCATTGAAAGATTGTTGTCCAATTGGTCTTTAACAAAAGAGAAAAAAATGAGGAGTTTTTTTCTTCTTAAAAATGGAGTAACTTCACAGTTCTTGAAACGTGAAAGTGAGATTAAAGTTTGTTTTATAGAAGTATCTATAATCTCAAACACTCGAATCATTCACTCTTACGCAGGGCAAATTATATGCATGGTACAATCCGGTTTTTTATTGTTGATATGCTTCCCTCACCATCGTTGACATAGATGGATGGTTCGTCGCTCGCATCAGACAGATAGCCACTCTCCGCTCACCCAGACCAGGGGTGTAGCTAAGGGGCCAGCCCGGGTCCTGGCCCAGTCCAGATTTTAAAAATATTTATTTTTCAGCGTATAAAAATTACGAGTAAATTTTTCCCAAAAATATTATTTGTCCGGTCGTCCAGTCCCGCCCTCCACCCCTGACCTAGAGGGACGCTCGCCGCTCGCCCCCAAACAAACGGCTCGTTGTACATACCCAGACGGTCCTATGCTTGTCTCGCACCATATACTCATGCACATGGCTCGCTAACTCCTCCTAATCGACGAAACTCACGCGACCACCGCAGGTCAGATTGGATCTCGTGATGACCAGATTGAAGCTTGCTTATATAGTGCCCAATGCTCAATAGTAGAGAACACGACACTCAATAAAAATGTTTTGATGCTCAAATGAGCTTTTGAAATTTTTTACATTCATTTTATAAGTTTTGTATGACTTTGGATCGAGCAACCTGATACTCAATAGAAGTGTATTAATGCTCAATTAACACGAACCAGGATTTTCACATACAAATGTAAGATATACACCGTACAACAAGTTGTGAGACATACAACTCCTTACATAGAGCTACAAGAAACAAGTTCAATTGGATGTTTGCCATTGGCAAGTGGGTGTAGTTTTAAGTTGATGTGATCACAGTGTGAATCTGTGAGACTTTTAGATAAGGGATCCTCTAACCCAAACTAATTTGAATAGATATATGTTGCAATTTCAGTTGGGGACCGAGAATATATAGTTTGACAAAATCGGGATCACATCAAATTAACAAACAAACAAAAACAGATTCAATTATTGTCTATATTTTTTGTGTGTTGTGCAGAAGTTTTGTTCAATTTCTTAATTCTTAGGCAAAAGTGCTATAAAATCAATCAAGTAATTAAGAGAATAGGATAAAGACGACAATAATTACGTAACGTCCTACTAATACTCTTTCTGCACTTGTCTTCCAATGGGTTCCGCCGCAATGTTCCACTAAAGTCTACAAAATAATGGCATAAATGAGATTGAAAGGTTAAGAGTTTCATGCATCAAGACATAAATGCCATATTTGTTTCATTGTTTGTGAGTGTTTTGTTTTAACCTTTTCAATACCATAAAGTATTTTGAAAAAATGTTTCCAAAACCTAAATCTTAATAAGAATCTCGTATGACCTACTATATACTTCGTATTAAACATTTTCACATGCATCATGACCACATAGACCAATAAACAATCATTTGTAGTGTTTATGACGATTTTGTTATCGGTTTAGATAAGTGATAGAGTCGAGGGTCGAACTCAAATTTTAAAGCATTTCAAATATCTTAAATCCAAATTCGTATAATTATATACGTAGTAATGGTAGTATATATAATTAATACGGAACGTCGATCAAAACTAAGCAAGTGATGCATGAAAATAATACAGAGTACATTTTTTTATCCTGAGTGAATTCATAGTGATTTGACAATGAAACACGTTGATGGATGTCACAGACGTAGCCTGAAACCCGCACGGGTAGCTCAACTGGTAAAACGGGGGAAAATTGGACAAATGATTAAGAATCGAAACCCGAGTGATCGTGTGGGGGTCACAGCTCCTATGTGTATGGGTCACAATTCTGGTGCACATGAGTTTAAGATCTATCACCGATATGATTGGTGGAGTTATCGTGATTTAAAACCTCCCTTTATTAGGTGATTCAAGTCGGGTGTGGGAGGGGGGAGGCATTGGGGTTAGGGAGCCAATCTTTTGACCAAACTGACGTAACCTGAAGACTAAATTGGGCAGGTAATATGAAGACTTTAAGATAGCGAGTATATTTTTATTCAAATTCCTATCATTATTACTAAAATAAATGTTTTTATTAAATTTGGGTGAGTTTGGGCCCTAGCATTCCCCTTAACTACTCCCCTGATTGAAGTTAAGACTCTTTTTCCTCTTGGTGTATGTGGTCAATGTGTGGCAGATGATGCATCGAAATTGAAATGATCACTTTTTTAGCAAACTCTAAATTTATTACTTCTTGCATTATTGCATTGTGTAATACTCCCCTGTCTATTTGGAATGTTTCTAGTGAATAAATGACACGGTTTGTAAGACAAGATGTTAAATAAAATAATTTAGGTAAACAAGTGAGAAAAGATAAAATTCTGAAAAGTGTACATATAATAAGTAAGAAAGAGAAATCTGAATAATTGTGTAATTAAAGAGAATAATTTTTTTTCTAAAAGAGAATAAGAATCTTTAAATGAGACACCCAAATAAGAAAAGTGAGAATCTTTTAACCCGACAGAGGAAGTAATTGATAAAATTGAATTACATTTCCAACTTGTGTGTACGGGTAAATGGTCTACTCCGTTGGGTTGGATGAATCATCATAACTTACAACCTCTCAAATATGGGATGTGGAGGCCCTAATTGGGCATTCAATCTTTTGGAAAATTATTTCATGTTTCAAATTGATAATTTTAATCCTAATGAAGGCGTGTGTTGCAATTGTGTTCTTTTAGTTTAACATCATATCGCGGTCTTATATTTTAGGACTAATAAAGCATAATTTAAATTATTGTAATTGAATGACCTTTTAACCTTTTTAACATGGACAACAATTTGTCAGCCATGGGAGGCAATTTGATACTCCTTATTACAGATTTACAGATAACCTTTGATATTAACAAATGTGAACTGCTAACACTGGGAATCAAATATTTTCCCAGTTATTAATAAACACATTATATATCAATGAACTTTTATATAGTATTACTCAACAACGTTTCCAACTACATATGAAAACACAAAAATATTAATGGATGCCAACAAGCAATATGTTTCTTCTGCTTTGTATACTTCCCCAAACTTAACTTGCAATAAAAAAAAACAAAAAGAATTTTTGTACAAGTTACAGCGGTGGGAATAATAATATAAACCATTAATTTATATATTTGACTTGCACAAAAATAAAAGAACTTTTGTTAATAAAATTTGCGGTATGAGGTGGTTCTCGGTGAAATTTGTTAATAAAATTTTGTGTGAATGTTTTTCATAAATGTGAATTATGTCCACAAAATTTCAGCTTAAAATTCAATCGAGATGTGAGTTAAATAAATTATTGAAAAACACTGTGTTGTTTATAAAGTGGTATTACTGCCAATAGTGATAATGTTTTTCAATTATGGGAGTAACGGCTCTTGTTTCGAAATGAAAAGCATAATAGTCCTATTTTGAAATTCCAAAATCTGTTTACATCTATTTAGGACATTTTCTTGTAATAATTTCATATTTAAAGTTTAAAGCTTTCTGTTTACTAAAAAACATCAAAAGTCATAGCTTAGCGGTCATATTTTTCCATACGGAGACATATACTAGCATGACCTAAAAGAGAAACACTAGCCGATCTACATACAGACATACAGAGATAGTAAAAATTTAATGAGAAATTAAAGGACACAGTGATTATAACTTTTATAAGTATTTCCTTAGTTCTAAATTTCCAAGTAAAGATATACGTAGTACGGAGTATTTGCTTAGATTTTACTGTTTTTTGGATAAACAGAGCACCAACCAAGGGGATATTCTGTAGTTTTTTCAAATAGAATTGGTAGTGTTGACTATTTTATGACACATATGACAAAAACTTGAGGACAGATAAAATAATTAAATGAGAGCAACTATGAGAAGATTGGACAATTTGGAAAAGAAAATGAAAACAACATGCTCCTTAGTCCTTACTCCTTAATATCAATCTTGATCTAAATGATAAAGACTTGTGAAGTAAATCAAGAGTAGTGTACCTGCTTCTTTTACAGAGGGATTCATACACATGCTTTAGTATCCACCATAAAAAGTAAAAATCCTACAACTTCCTTCCACACTATTAATACAAACTATAATCCAACTTAGCTTGACTACAAAAGAGACAGCCTGTTTAAAGGCATGTTTTAGTGTTTCCGAATCCATATTGCCCAAATAAATGACATTTATTTTTGGGAAAATTGTCAAATAGGTCCTCGAACTTTCATAAAAAAGTCAATTAAGTCCTTCTATAGGAGGTTCTGTCTGCCGTCGCGATTTGGGGCAGTTCCCGGTGGAATTTTTTGATGAAATTTTTTGAGAATCTTATTCACCAAGTCTAGTTTACTCATACCAAATTTCAGCTAAAAATGCAATCGGGAACACATTCAAATTATTTCTTGAAGATAACTGCGCATTTTTGTGTTCTCGAATTAATTTGAATGCGCTTCCGATTAAATTTTTAGCTGAAATTTGGTATGAGTAAACTAGAATTGATGAATAAGATGCTCAAAAAAATTCATCAAAAAATTACACCGGGAACCGCCCCAAATCGCGACGACCGGACATAGTCTCCTATAGAAGGACTTAATTGACTTTTTTATGAAAGTTCGAGGACCTATTTGACAGTTTTCCCTTTATTTTTCACAAGAGTAGCACCAAAGCCTCGCCTTGTTCCCTCCAAAGAAATGTTTCGAACATTTAGTCTCCATAGAAGGAATAGCAACCTCCTCCACGATCCAGTTGTGTAATTAGATGGGTTCAGATTCTTGATTCTTTTGAATAAATTTTGGGAAATTACAAATTTATAATAGCCTCAACAACAAACCAAACAAGGCAACAATGGTCAAAATGCTGGGCAGCCAGAAGTGACAGAAAATTTGAACCATCTTTTCTTCTCACTATACACCAGACAAGGCTGTAAAACCATTCCAATGAGCAAAGCCAAGACGCTAATGGCCATGACTTTAAAGGAGGCAAGTCCTAACACCACAAGAATACATATTGTTGGCGGTATACACATAAAGATTGAACCTTTTGTCCCCAATGGTATCTTGTAAGGCCTAGAAGCTGCTGGGTATTTCATCCTCAACTTCACAAACGCGATGAACTCCATTATCATCCCAAAACAGTACAAGAAGTTCTCTGCTGCGACAATTTCTTGGAAGCTAAGCCACGACAAGAGAACGACACCTGATGCAGAGAAAAGAATCCCAACAAGAGGTGTCCCATGGCGGGACCTCTTGGCGAAGACTTCCGGAAGCATCCCAAGTTGAGCCATCCCAAGAAGCTGGAAGGAGTCACTGCTCATCTCAGCCAAGAACATACCCATGTTTGACACTGCTGAAGCGACTTGGACCCACGATCTCAGCCAAAGGCCTCCTACAGTTTTGGCAATATCCGAAAAGTACCCATCACTCCACAGACCACGGTCAACAGGCAAAGCTCCAGTACCTATTAGAAGAGGAAAAAAGTAGCCCGACACAACCAATAGAAGAGCATAGAAGAGGGCCTTAGGGAGTGTTTTGCCAGGATTCTCCACCTCACCGGAAAGAGTGCTGATTGAGTCCCAATAGTTCAAATTCCAGAAAAGGGTATTCAAATAAAGACCCCAATCGACACTCCCCATGTCCGACAACTCAAGCCATCTAGAAGGTTCAATCCTAGGAAGCGAGATAAGTCCCATAAACAAGAAAGGAAGGAGGGATAGCACTCCTAAGAGTATTGCTACCCATCCAACCACATTTAAACCTCGGTAACTCAGATAAGTGAGAGCTATGGTTAAACAAAAGATTGCGATTGCCCTAGGAAAACCGTCGGCCAAAGCCGGGATAGCCGACTTCAGATAGTCCAAGAATAGTACAGGATAGAGTGCATTGTCAATGACACCACTTAGCCACTTCATCCAACCTTGCTGAAATCCCCAGTAAGGACCCAAAGCAGATGATACCCAGACAACATATCCTCCATTTTCAGGGAACATGGTTCCCATTTCAGCAGTTATTAGGGCTTCTGGTATGCTCCATACAAGTGGAAAGATCAAAAAGCCTAGAAGTGCCAAAAGTGGACCAGCTGCCTTGACACTGTCTTCAACACCAAAAGGACCCCCAGAGACCTCATAGAATATGAGGAAAACAAGAGGAACTATAGAAACCTTCCCAAAGTTCTCTAGCCTTGGAGAAGCTCCTTCATTCAAACCCAAATATATTTCTGAATCGTCTTTGCGCATTGTGATAGGGGCTTCTATATAACCCGAGGGATTTACTTACTACTGCAAAAAAAGGTAGGGACATGAAAAAAATAAATCATGAAAAATGTTCTTTTATCTCTGGATTTGGCTTTGAAATCACAAAGTAAAATGAAATTCTAATAGAACTTCTAGTCACTTTTAGTGCATTCAAAGATTTCACATAAATTTAGATTTCTTGGTTCTTATAAGTAATAAGATACGGAGTAGAAAATAAAGAAATTACAATAGATTTTTCCCCATTTTTCTTTCCTTCTAAAACCCTTCAGGTTTACTTCTTAATTCTTTACCTAATATTTTCTGAGTTCTAAACGGAACCTAATAATAGAACTGAGATAGTACAAGCAGTGTTAGGTGAATCTGGTGACGTAGGAGGGAGCGAGCAGCTGTGATTCCTTAATTTTCTAATCAATAAAACAATAATTTTAATTTAACACCAAGAAAACACGTAGAAATTGATGAAAACTAGCCAAAGAATTCAAGGTTCAAATTCATACAATAGCATTACTGCAACCTGAAAAGACTCACAATAAACACCTAAACCGACATTTACATACAGATTAACGGATGTTCTGACCCAATATCCAAAGAAAGGGATTCAATTCGTCATAAAGGCGCAGTCTTTGAATGATGAAGCTCGGGTGGAAGAAGATTACCTCAAGATCCAAAGGGTTGATCGCTTGATTGGGATAAGAAATTGAGAATAATGTACTGAAATTGCACCAGGCAGTGTATATTTGAAATGAGTGTGAGCTACGAGTCATCACCGTACGTCGACACGAGTTGGTTGCTGCTGACTTGTGACATGGAAGTGTCGAGGGAGAACCTCATGCTTTCTCTCTCTCTGCTCCCCAAAATTTCAGAAGTTAGGTTGAGTCAAGCTTGGTTTTTAGTGATAAGCTAATGGAGTACTTATCAGTTCTTTAATGAAGTTGCAACATTATACTTTATTCATACAGAATCATACTACTATCTTTCTTTCACCTTGATTTTCTATTTTTTTTACTCCAGTAATCAGGGATCAAAATCACTCCATTATACTCCCTCCGTTACTCTATTAAGTTCCTACTTTGACCTACACACATATTTAGGAAATAAATTTGACTTTACTGTTTAGACACTGTTTGACACTGTTTAGACACTGTTTGTCACTGTTTGACACTGTTTTGATGTAGGATAACTTTCCATTTAGGGAAATGAGAAGATTATTTTGGGACGGCCCAAAAAGGAAAGTAGGAAGTTAATAGCGGGACGGAGGGAGTATGAAATATATATAATCAAATTATTATGTATAAAGTATCAGTATATTCGTTCTGTAATGTAAGATGCATTTAGGTTTGATGCGAGTTTTAAGAAAATAATGAACAAAATAGTTGTTTAACAATTTTAACTTCCAAAAAGTATGAAAGAGTAAGATGTGTGCACAAAAAGTAATAAATGAAATTATAGATAAAGAGATAATATGGAAAAGTTAAAAGTTTATGGGGTCTGATTCAAGAAAGTGATCATATTTTTATGATAACTCAAAAAGGAAGGTGTATCTTACAAAATAAGATGAAAGGAGGGGTATTAAATTTCTTGATGTTGGCTTTCATAATATAAAATACATCTGCCATGGCTACCTGTATGATTAAGTCTGATTATTATTCTCACGTGTATCAAGAGCATATGTTCTTTACCCTAAAAGTTCTTAAAAAATAAAAATTGCACCTCTCTTCATCGGCTATCATGGTTGAGTTGTCATCCTCTTCTATTGTTGCGGCATACTCTCAGGTTACGTCGGAAATTCTCAGCAGCGTGCCACCTTTGGACGCTGCCACATCATCGTTTGTACGGTTCGGTCATTGGTCGTCTCTGACTCCTCATTAATGTAGTCTACTCTGACCATGGTTCCTCCTTTTACTTTGTTTGCTAATTGAGGATTTCCAGGCCCCCCTTCAGTTGGAACGTCTAGTTCTATCCTTCTGCTATTACATGCCCCTCCTGTTTTATTCCAACATCTCCACCTGTGCCCTTACCTGCTTCAACGTCTAAACACCCTAATATTGTTTAGTATCCGGATTTGAGTGCTTCTGCGCACATGACCTCCATAGAAGATATTTTAGTTGATAAATCTGTTTATTTATCTTTATCTTATCCATTTTTTATGTAATCTTTTTTTGACATCGATACCATGGATTGATTCATGTTAACCACCCCAAAATATTTTGGTATTAAGAATTGGCTGTTGTTGTAAATATATTTATTTAGTTACTCAACAAGTAACAATAGCTAATGGTACTAACATAGTTGTGGTTCAAACTGGGAGTGTGAAATTATCTTCTTTGGCTCGCCCTCATTAGTTAAAATTGGTTTTTCTTATGCTTAATCTGAAAAATAATTTAATTCCTATTTAGAAGTTATGTGTCGATAATAATTTTGTGGCAATTTTTAATAAAACTTGTGTTTTGATAAAGGACCAACACACGGAAAGGTCCAGAGGTCCTCTTTCAGGATCCCATTAGCTATTCAATTAAATTCATCCCCTCACTGGCTCTAGTTAGTAAAGTTGCTCTTGGACATATCTGACATTGAAGATTGTGTTTTGATCATGTTTATCTGTACTTAAGACTAGTAGATGTATTTTTAGTGATTCATCTTATTTTATGATTGTGTATCTTGTCTCATGATTGTGTATCTTGTCGTTTAGGCAAATGTCGATGATTACCATTTCAGGATGTTATTCTCAAGTCAATTTAATATTTACAATTTCAGGTTGCTAATCACAAGTCAATTAAATCTTTACATTTAATTCATTCGTTTGGTAGTTCCCCAATCTTTTTATGTTTGTCTCGTGGATGATTTTCCAGTTTTACGTGGATCTATCCTATGCTTGATCTCAAATATGGCGTCGCTCATCCATTTGAGTCATGAACCATCCGCTTCCTCTTATCGTTTCTTCTATATAACAATTATATTGTCTTCTTATCTTACGCGCATATTCTTCGTCTCATCATGGCCTTCATGGGATTCATGGCAAGAGAAGCTTTGACCTTGCCCAATTGCACATGACATAGGATTTCTGATTTGGGTAGAACAAAAAAATGGGCTTCGTCAACTATATATTTTCAAGCTAGTTAGTACGGAGTAGGCTTGGACTCGGGCCGGGTCGGGTCGGGCCGGCGGTTCAGAATTGGTGGACCCGGGACCGGCCCGGGTAGTCACCGGGTCCGGTTCGGGCCTCCGGTTTGGTTATTTTTTTTGCTTTCCTAACCCCCCACCCCTCCCCCCCAAACCCCTCCTAACCATCAAGCCCAACCTAGGTGGAACCCCCCCCCCCAAAAAAAAAAAAAAAAAAAAAAAAAAAAAAACTGGCCTGGGCCCGGCCCGGCCGGGCGGTTCACCAAATGAAAGACCCAAGCCCGGACCCGCCCCCCACCCAGGCCTAGGCCCGACCCAGACCCAGACCCAAGAACCGAGCTGGTCCCGGTCCCACACAGTAACGGGCCGGGCCGGGTGGCCCGACCCGAATCCACCCCAAGTAGGGATGGACCCGGGCCGGGCCGGTTCCGGTTCCGGGCCGGGCCCGGGCGGGCTTTTTTTGGGGATTGTTGGGCCCGGAACCGGCCCGGGGTGATACCGGGTCCGGTTCGTGCCGGGTCGACCCGGTCGGGTCCGGGCCGGGCCGGGCCGGGCCCGGGCTTTAATTTTTTTTTTTTTTTTTTTTGATACCAAAATTAAATTAATATTACTTGGACATAAAAAAGGGTAAAACATATTTATTTGATATTTGTAGTACAATTGAAAATTGAGTAAAAATAAAAACATGAAATACACTTTATAATAAGTAATGAAGTATGAATCAATTAGAATTTCCTCCATCTTCAGTTGTTTCTTCCATAAAGTGGCGAGTGGGTTCAATGCTTATTTCTTGAGTTCTACGTTTGGCCTTCAACCAATCGTGGAAGCAAACAAGCGTCTCAAGAGAGTTTGCGCTTAATCTCGTTCTATAATCCGTTAGGACGTTGCCGGCCGCACTAAACTCTTGTTCCACAGCAACTGTTGATACCGGCATTGCTAGCACTTGCTTAGCCATCTTTGATAAGATCGGGAACGTTCTCTCTTTTTCCTTCCACCACTGAAGAACGTCAAAGTCATCCCCTTCTTCATAATCAACAGGAAATGTTAGATACAAAGAAAGCTCGTTGATCGAGCTTTGTTCATTAACCGGAGTTGATTTACTTTTTTTCATAAGATTGCCAAATGCAGATTTGAAAATTGATTTTCCTTTAGATGAAGAAGATGTTCGTGGCGGGGGAGGGGGTGCGTTACCATATTGTGCATGAAACTCATTAAATAATTGATATAATAAATTACTAACCTCTTGGAATTGTTGTTTAGGGTCTATGGCCTTGTCGTCGTACATAGGCAATGGACCAAAAAAAGAAGCATAATAGTAATCTAAACATTTCTCCAAAGAATAAAGTCTAAAACGAGGATCAAGAACAAATGCAATACCATATATATGCGGAATATAGGAATAATATTTTAAAAACTTTTGTTTCATGAAGTCACAAAAATAACTAACGTAAGCGGCGTCAGAGAATTCAGAAAAAGCGCCGGCGAGATTAACAGCTTCAACAAAAAATTGGTTTGCGGTAGGTTTATAAACATGACTAAAATGGAGTATTTATAGATATTTAGTACCCCACCCCCCACCCCCCACCCCCCCCACCCCCCACCCCCCAACCCGGGACCCCCTGGAAGGCTCCCAACGGCTATAGAGCCGTTTGGGTTGAAAGCCAACGGCCATAAGGCCTGTTTGGCTGAAAAACAAAATTTTTTTTTTTTTTTAAAAAAGTAACCGTTAGGCCCGACCCGGGCCCGAACCGGCCGGGCCGGGCCACCAAACAAATGAACCGGACCCGAACCGCCAAACCCCCCCGGGCCGGGTCAAAGCCCGAACCGGTTCACCAGTCCCGGTTCCGGGCCGGGCCTGCACAGTGGCGGGCCGGGCCGGTTCCGGGCCGGGCCGGCCCGGTTGAGTCCATCCCTAACCCCAAGTATAGAGGGGTTTGTAAAGTTGTATAACTCAAATTCTCAAAATAACGTTGTTTCATTTTTTATCTGAATGACGCAATATTAAAGATTATTGAACTTTGTGGGTGCTCACCCTTGAACAACTAGAGTAGACACACCCAAACCGAAGTCTCGATCAATAATCCGACATCATTTCTTAGAAAGTTATCTAATAAGCTTTTTATTTTTTACAAAAAGTTTAAATTTTCCTACAAATTATTTTTTCATGGTTAGTAGTGTAACTTTGTATTGTAGTGAAGATTCTTGCTACGACTCAATTCTACTACTCAAGCAACGAAACAAGGGAAAAGGTGCAAATAGGCCCATGTACTAACCAAAAAAGGTCAAATAAGCCCTTATTTAGGAGGTTCTGTCCGGACGTCGTCATTTGGGGTGGTTCCTGGTGGAATTTTTTGATGAAATTTTTTGAGCATCTTATTCATTAAGTCTAGTTTACTCATACCAAATTTCAGCTAAAACTTCAATCGGGAAGGCATTCAAAGGAATTCTTAAAAATAACTGCGCAGTTAGAAGCGCAATTATCTTCAAGAATTCATTTGAATGTCTTCCCAATTGAAGTTTTAGCTGAAATTTGGTATGAGTAAACTAGACTTGATGAATAAGATGGTCAAAAAATTTCATCAAAAAATTCTACCGGGAACCACCCCAAATGACGAAGGCCAGACAGAGGCTCCTAAAACATGACAGACAATAATGTCAAGTGACTCGGGGTCAAACGTCTAAAACAGCTAAACGTGTGCTTTTCATGGGGTTGTCTTGCAAGTGTTATTCGGGTCCAATTGATGGTAAACATAGTTTGGTGGGAGGCATATGTACAGAGATTTTTGGAT